CTTGCCTCAGCCTCCCAAGTAGCTGGGATTACAGGTGCCCCCCACAAAGCCGGCTATTTTTAGAGATGGGGGTCTTGCTCCGGCTCAGCCTAGTCTCAAACTCATGAACCCAAGTGATTCGCCTGCCTAGGTCTCCTAGTGTGCTTGGCCTCTCTGTCTGTCTGTCTCTCTCTCTCTATTTTTTGAGACAGAGTCTCAAGCTATTGCCCTGGGCCCTGGCATCATAGCTCACAGCAACCTCCAACTCAGGATCAAGCAATCCTCTTGCCTCAGTTTTTCTATTTTTAGTAGAGATGGGGGTCTTGCTTTTCCTCAGGCTGATCTCAAACTCAAGAGCTCAAGCAATCCACCTGCCTTGTCCTCTCAGAGTGCAAGCATTACAGAGTGCAAGCCACCCTGCCCTCACTTTGGAGTCAGAGTCTCACTTTGTTACCCTCAGTAGAGGGCTATAGTGTCATAGCTTACAGCAATCTCAAACTCTTGGGCTCAAGTGATCCTCTTGCCGCAGCCTCCAGAGTAGCTGGCAGTACAGGTGCTTGTCACAACACCTAGCTATTTTTAGAGACCAGCTTTTGCTCTTGTTCAGGCTGGTCTCAAACTCCTGAGCTCACGCTATCCACCCACCTCAGCCTCCCAAAGTGCTAGTATTACAGGGGTGAGCCACCACACCTGGCCTCAAACACTTTGATAGAACTCTGTACAATTAATGTTCAAAGAAACATTAATTCTGGCCAGGTGAGGTGGCTTATGCCTATAATCCTAGTACTTTGGGAGGCCAAGGTGGGCAGACTGCTTGAGCTCTGGAGTTGGAGACCAGCCTGAGCAAGAGTAAGACTCCATCTCTACTAAAAATAGAAAAACTAACAGGGCATTGTGGGGGGTGCCTGTAGTTCCAGCTACTCAGGAGGCTAAGGCAAGAGGATCATCTGAGCCCGAGTGTTTGAGGTTGCTGTAAGCTATGATGATGCCATGGTACTCTACTCAAGGTGACAGAGTGATGAAACTTTCTCAAAGAAGAAAAAGAAAGAAACACTAATCCTGCAAAAAAGTTTCTTGCGTGGGTGGGTGGGGTTCTAGCTACACATGTAGCCTGCTCAATTCAATATGAACAAAACACATTACCATATTAAGTACTCGGAGAAACCAGTTTAACATGATTTCAACTAGTGCTTCCCAAACTTATTTGGACACAGAATAGTATTCTCAGATAGTATCTTTTTAGCATCCCATGAAACTAATTTTCTGTAACTTGAAATTTGGACTGACAAGATCAATATTCTTAGGTAGTAGAGGTAGTATAGGCAAAAGGAAAAATACAATCGTAGGAGATGTTCTCTACTGTTTGGTTTTTTTTTGCAGTTTTTGGCCCCCGCCACCTCCAGTATATGAGCCACAGGCACTGCCCATCTACTGGTTTTTTATGTCTGTTGTGATTTGTAGCTTCAGTCAATGGATACTTAAAAAAGTTATGTTTCTTATGGTTATCAAGTCTCTAAAATGAATTAAATTTCTGTGACTCTTAGACTATAGCTTAACTTTAGCCTCTTTCCCTCCCTAATAAAAACTTGGAATCTGGCAATCGATCACTATGATATTAAACATCAACTCAAAGCAAAAAATACTAGATGGCTCACGCCTGTAATCCTAACACTCTGGAAGGCTGAGGCAGGTGGATTGCTTGAGCTCACCAGTTCAAGACCAGCCTGAGCAAAAGCGAGACCTTGTCTCTACTAAAAAATAGAAAAACTGAGGCAAGAGGATCACGTGAGCCTGAGTTGGAAGTTGTTGTGAGCTATGATGCCACAGCTCTCTACTCAGGGTGACAGCTTGGGACTCAAAAAACAAACAAACAAAAAACCCATTAAAGCTAAACTGAGACATATGGATATTATTTCAAAATGATTTTTCAAAAAATCCTTAACATTTATTCTAATCATTCAAGAAATTAGGTTGTTTACATTTATTGCAGCATTTTTTTCCTCCAATATAATTTATACATGAACTTTGAACAATTTGCAGTTATTTCAAAGCAGTTAGCTATCACTTTGTTTTATCGTGAAGTAAAACATGCACATACTTGGAAAATATATATGTAATATAAAGAATAACAGTAAAATTATTGTGCAGGTCAAAAAAGTATTTTGGAAACATGTGTTTAAAGTCCTTTCAGAGAAGTTGAATGGTGCATGGACAAAGGGTGAAGGTGGGCCATGAGTTGCAGTATCCCTTTTGCTAACTCCACAGAGTAAGACATATGCTTTATGCAACCACCCTCCTTGGGGAGCAGATAGTTTGGGGGTAAAATATTTGTGAGGTCAGCACTACTGTTTAGCAAAATGTTCCTTTCAACCACACTCAGAACACTCCCTTGGAGGAAATCTGTTAAATACAATATTCTCCATCTCATTAAATTTCTAGCATTTTTATTTATTGTTTGCTTTTTGTTTATTTATTTAGAGATAGGGTCTTGCTTGCTCTGTCCCCTGGGCTAGTGTACAGTCATGTAATTAAAGCTCATTACAACCCCAAACTTTTGGGATCAGGCAATCCTCCTGTCTCAGCCTCCCAAGTAGCTGGGACTGTTTGCATTAGCCACCATGAATGGCTAAATTTTTATTTTTATTTTTGTAGAGACAAGTGTCTTGTTTTGTTGCCTTGTTGCCCATACTGACCTCCAAGTCCTGGCCTCAAGTGAGGCTCCAAAAATGGGAGGATTACAAGTGTGAGCTACTACACCTGGCTACCAGTGCTACTTTAATAGCTCTAAGAGATTTGGCCTAGGTCTGCTCCTTAATCTACCTCTCTTCTCTCTCTCTCTTTTTTTTGAGACAGCATCTCACTTGTTGCCCTGGGTAGAGTGCCGTGGCATTACAGCTCACAGCAACCTCAAAATCTTGGGCTCAAACGATACTCTTGCTCAGCCTCCAGGGCAGCTAAGACTATATAGGTGTCCACCCACAATGCCTGGGTGGCATATATTTGGAGACAGAGTGTCCCACTATGTTGCCCTGAGTGAGTGCCAGAGTCACAGCTCACAGCAACCTCCAACTCTTGGGCTTAAGCGATTCTCTTACCTCAGCCTCCTGAGTAGCGGGGACTACAGGAGCCCGCCACAACCCCCGGCTAGTTTTTTTTTTGTTGTTGTTGTTTATAGTTGTCATTGTTGTTTGGCAGGCTCAGGCTGGGTTCGAACCCGCCACCCCTGCTGTATGTGGGCGCCATAGCCGCTGAACTACAGGCACCGAGGCAATGCCTGGCTATTTTTAGAAATGGGTCTCGGTCTTGCTCAAGCTGGTCTCGAACCTGAGGTGAGCTGAGGCAATCCACCCACCTTGGCCTCTCAGAGTGCTGAGATCACAGGCATGAGCTCACCTGGTCACCTACCCCTCTTAATAGATTCTTTTCTTTAGTTCACAGCAACCTCAAACTCTGGGGCTTAAGTGATTTTGCCTCAGCCTTCTGAGTAGCTGAGACTACAGGCACCCGCCACAATGCCCGGCTATTTGTTGCAGTTGTCATTGTTATTTAGCTGGCCCAGGCCGGGTTTGAACCCTCCAGCGGCCGGCGCCCTACCCACTGAACTACGGGTGCCGCTTTTTTTTTTTTTTTTTTCCTTTTGCATTTTTGGCCGGCGTGGGGTTTGAACCCGCCACCTCCGGTATATGGGGCCGGCGCCTTACTCTTAAGCCACAGGCGCCGCCCTCGGGGGGCGGGGGGGGCCCGCTAACTTAACAGATTCTTGACCAGCAGAAATGAGTGCCTCACACAAGTGGGAGACACTGACTAGAAAGGTGCACATATGCAAGATGGTTCCTGCACTGAGGTTGGGAGTCTTTCTTGGAAGACAGAGGAGTATTTAACAGAAACGTTCGACGGCGGGCGTGGCTTACCACAGCCGCGCAGTGGTAGAGACGGAGCAGAAACCGACTTGGGCAGTGCGTGGAGCGGGCAACGCCCAGACAGAGAACTTTTTTACACTCGGGAGGTTACCCTGGCCCAAGGGCGTCCTCCTCCAGACACCACCTCCACCACCGTTGGTAGGTCTCGACGTTTCTCGCAGCTGGTGGCTCTAAAATGGCCTTGGGGACAAAACTTGGGTCGGGAAGGAGGAAAAGGGGATAGCGGTGTAAAGTCCCCCAGATGAACTAGTGAGTGGCAAAATGGAGCGTGGCCCTACAGTCCTGGCCCAGGCCAGGAGGAAAAAGTCGCGCGCGTGCGAGGCTTCTTTCAGGCGTCCTCTTTCGGCCACCTCCGGGAGAGTTTCGGCTCTTTCCGTCAGTTCCTGCTCAGGCCCTCGGCTCCTGGCACGCGCTATGCCCCCAGCCACACCGCCCGGCTTTTTGGGGGTATGGGCCGTTCTGCACGCGGGCCCAAACTCGTGTCTTACTCGTTTTCCCCCTTCCATCTAGTTTATCCCCGACCCCACTCCTCCTGCCCCTTCTCTTTTTCGGTAATGCTCAATCCCCGATGACGCCCGAGCTCCCATAACTCAGGCGCGTGAGCCGGCGAGATGCGAGAGAGCAGGTACCGAGAGGAGCGGTCACCAGACCCACTGGAGCCCGCTCCTCACTTCGCGCCTTTCCACTCGACGGTCTCCAGCGTGCGCGCTGACTCCCTCTCGGAGGTGTGCTCGCGCGCCCGTTGGCTACAACGGCCTCGAGGTCGGCACGCCGGGTTCGCGCCTACGCGAGCACGCGCCCTGCGCGCTGGCTGGCTGATGCGCACGCGCCCGTGAGGGCTCCGGGGCGGGGCGAGCAGCTCGCGCTCTGTGGAGAGTCGGTGTGGGTCCGCTGGCGCTCCGGACCCCAGCCGCGACTGCGATCTCCTGCCAGTCCCCTAGCCCGGGAGGGAAGCCGGGAAGGTGGTCGTGGGGGCGGGGCAGTGTCCGGCTTTCGGAGAGCTGGGGGAGGAGTGCGGCGACGGCGGCGGCTCTCAAAGAGGAGGAAAAGGAGGTGGAGGATCTTTCCTCTTCTCAGACCCCAAAGCGTCTGGGACGTAGAGCCCGGAACTCGAGGGACGCGGCGACTGCGGGGCCCAGTCTGAGGTGAGGCCGAGGGTGCTGGGCGGAGGGTTTGGCCGGGGCTCAGAGGGGCACAGAGGTGCAGAGATCGGATTCGAAGGAGGGAAGAGAGGGTGGGGGCAGTTGCTGGGGGTTGAGGGACCGAAAATAGGGGAATGTGAGTCCTATGGGACCAGGAGTGTCCAGAGGGTGGAAGGTTTTTCGGGTTCGCGGGCCGGCAAGGCACACGGGTCCGATTTGGGAGTTTACAGAGGGATAGGCCGGGGAAACAATGGAGTGAGGGGCGCTCTGGTGTGAGCGTGTGTGGGGCATTGGGTTTTAAGAAACCACGAGCGAGATCGAAAAGAATGAAAGAATGGATCATTTGGTATGAGAAGTACAATGAATAGGGAATGCGGTGGGGATGCGTAAGGTCATCTGCGTAGGTGTCCGAGGTCCTTATGATTGGGGGCAATAATGGGATTTGAAAATAAGGGATGGAGGGGCATTCTTGGGAACGGAATGGAAAATAAGGCGAAGAGAGGCAGAGATATACAATAGATTTAATTATGGCTTGAATTAAAGCAGGAAGATCCAGTCAGAGAGTATAGGTAGGTAGGACTAAAGTGCTATCTTTTTCCTAATTCATAGAAGATGATTGGGTTCTTTTAAAAAGTGGATCTTTCTCAATCTTGTCCCTCTCCCTGTGCTAAGGAGTAGAAGCCATTCTTTTAATAATTTGAGTGTCATTTATAGTCCATTTTATTGATAAAGCATGACTGTAAAATTTATTTTTCCCCTATTTAGGTTACTGTATGTCATTTACTTCTGTTTAATGAAGCAGGAGAGGATAGATCACCAAAAATACCTTGCTTTGAGTGAGGTCAGTGATAATGCAGAGTTCAGAGTGTTTAGAGGGGAATCAAGAGCTTGTGTATTTGTTTTTAGTTGGAACAAAAGATAATGAATAGGCTTGCTAAAATCTAAGTTATTTGTACTTTGTTAGAATTGCAATTTCTCACTGAGAAATGTTCTTCTACCATCTGCTACTGGTTTTATGCTTGTGGGAGAGAGTTGGGGTTCTGCCTCAAGAAATTTTCTTGATGCTGACTTCGGATTATCAGGCTGCCTTGTATCTTCCAGTTTGTATGAAGGTATTTGAGAATATTGTTAAAAAGTATTTCTGGAGTTAGGATCTTTGCATTTCCTTAATACTTGGATTTCCAGATCAAATTTGTAATGATACTGTACTAGATAAAAATAAATAGCAGATTTTGAAATTGTAGTTATCATTCCGCATTCATATATACTCCATGTTAAGCTATTTATTTGTTTAGCTTTAAGTTTTGCTGACTCATCTAACATTTTTGGACATTCATCAGTTTATATTTCTCTTGGATGGTAGCATTAGTCTGCTGTATAAAGGTCCACAAATAATGATCTAAATTGTCACTTTTCTTACGTGTTATGAAAACTGAACAAAGCAATAAGTAAGTTCAGTGTCCTTGTTAGTGATAATGTGGTTCTTTATTGACCTCTTTCAGGGTGCTAAGATTTTTCCATGTATTATCTCATTTAATCCTCACAATTATTTCTTTGTAAATTAAGAAGCTAAATAATTTGCTAACGTCACACAGCCAGTGAATAACAAAGCTGGATTCAGATCAGCTTTATTGGATGCCTTTAAATGATCACTTCTCTGTGGTTCTTTCTGTTCCACCCCCATCTTACTTGTAGTAAAGCAGCATGAACTGGTTGAAAACTTGGGTCTGTTATGGTAACAATGATTTAGCTGAGGATTGGGTTAGTAGGCTACATCTGTAGGGTTATGGAAGGTGTACTGCTCCTGTGATTTAACAAAGCACCTGGAGTCCTAATGACAGGGCTAAAAAACATCTTGCTAAGAATTTGTCCTGTGAGCACACTTAATTTTCTGTTAAGGCTTCTGTGGCTGAAGTACTGTGCAGATGTAACACTCTTACTTGTAGAAGTCAAGATAGCCAATTGTGGAGCCAAAACCAATTAACTCTGGAAAACAATTGAAAACTGCTCAGTGCTTAAGTCTTCCAAGCACCAGTTGAACCCACAGTTGGTACTAGCATTTCCTCTAAATATAGATAGGATCCTCTTTGAAACTGAGAGTGAAACAACTGGAACTGAGGGAAGCAGCAGGGGCCTGAGGGAGGAGGAAGTTACAGACCAAAATATCAGCATAACCTCTGGAGGCTGATCAGGCTACAGATAGTAGTGGATGGCAGGAGGGGAGGGAATTTTCATTTGTTGAGCATTTATGTATGCTTTAGATGTATGTGTGCTTACATCTATATGTATTACCTTGTAAGATAGTTGTAAGTATTATCATTTTTCAGATAAGGTTCAGAGAATTAAGTAACATGCACAAAGTCAATAATGGCAGTGAAGGAAGTTTGTATATAATGTTTTTTAAATTGCTGCTTGCAGTTGTAGGGCCACCATATTAGAGCTGGAGACTAAAAGTCACTCACATCTACCTTCTCAGTTAGAAGTGAAACTGATTATTGGAAACTGGAAGAAAAGCTTGTATTTCTCTGATTTAGTTGATGGGAAAGAAAGTCCATTCCATTCATTACATTACAAATGATCCGACGAATATATGTGGTAATTCCCCTTCCTTGTTGCTTAGTGTATATCTGTAACAACATGAAAATAGCATGTCCATCTTTCTCATTCTGAGGTCTTGACTTTCAAGGTAAGTCATCTAGATTCTGAAGGATGACAGTGAAGCATGCCTGTTAAAAATGCTTCTACTTCTCTTGATATTTTTTTTTTTTT